ATCAATTGTAAATGAAATGAATCAATTGTAAATAAAACAAATTTGCTCAATCATTGATCGCAATGTATATATCGATTAATTGTAGTGATTGTGCAACATTTCAATCACTATTTAATCACATCGAGTAAGATGCTTGAGAGCACCCTATATCCAAATTAAGTATAATTCCGAAGAAAGCTAAAATATAGATTCAATTCCGGAAAAGCTAAAATATATAATTTTAGGCAAAATTATAATATCGATATAAATTTAAACAAAATTAAAAATCGATACTAATTTTGATAGAATTTGATCTGGCATTATGGCTAGCTAATAGATATGAAATAAGAAAAAAACTTAAATACTTATAATAAAAGCAATAATTTGGCGGACAAAGACACTTGAAAAAAAATTCATCAATTGCCAACTAAGAAATTGACGCAGCTTTTGTGTTATATTCATTCTAGTTATGTAATATAATTTAATATTGTTGACCCGTATTTCGTAAATATCATCTAAAACTTTTCCATTTTGTAAATAATAAATAATAAAATAAATATTATTATTTGAACACAGTTTATTTTATGATGGCCTCTAGCTACTGTCAGAGAATGAACTAAAAAACCAAAATTTACATATAAAAAGATAGGAATTATTAACATTGACAATCAACCTGACCTTTGCATATGCTTTTAATTTATTAAATTTGTATAACTAGGCTATAATTTTACTAATAAAATTACCGCCACCTATTAACATTAAGTGAAAATTTTCTATTGTTGTAATGAAAAATTAAAATGTTAATTCTGGCCGGAATTTAGTAAACAATTATGTAACACAGGCAAAAACTTTGAAGATCCGCAGCGCGACTACAGCATACAGTCATACCTCTTTATAATTGCCTCTTATATAATCACATCATATAAAAACCTTTTTATAATCACACCTATATTTACACCCAATTACTATCTAATATTTAACAAAAGACCTTTATATGTGCACACTTCTTTACAAGAACATTTTTTTAAAAAAGTTCCTATAGTCCCAAAAGTGTGATTATAAAGAGGTATGATTGTACATAGAATTTAAATAAAATAATTAAAAATGAATCTTACAAAATCAATTAAATTTCTTACTTCGTCTTTATAGAATTATAAAAAAAACTCAAGAAATTAAGAATTAAAAATTAATTAAGGCAGAAATTTGAATGTATTTGCTTATATCTCAATAAATTTTGAAGCTATTTTGATGATTTAGATAGTGATCTTTCTTTTGACTATTAGATAATTAAGATAGGTCTCAAAATCTATCAACAATCCAAATATTATTCTAGTACAATTCAAAATGATCTATCTTTTTAATTTGTAATCTGGTAGAATTAATTTTAACTTTGGTAAGCATAACTCTGGAGTAGACATGCGATTGCTAACAGTTTTTGGCCCGCATTAACCATAATGTGGACCAAGGGATCAAATGTCTACTCTGGAGAAAGTGAAATACTAAATAGTTGGTTTTTGCAAATAAGAAAGCTTCTTAGTGTTATATCATTTTGTTTTTGAAAACATCACTTGCACCAAAATCATTAATTAAACGATATTTATTAAACCAAACTCTAGCATGAGTATGACCAAGATTGGATGCTTCTTCAATCAATTTTCGTGCTTCATTAATATTTTGCTTGCATCCATAACTGCCAAGTAAGCGTCTTCCTAATTTATTTTTGATTTTACTTTTAGTCAGATTATCACCTTCATTTTGAATTTTTTGAAGAACCTCAAAAGCTTTTTTATAATCTTCAGACATGCTAGCAGTAATAAATAAATTTTCTACTGCATTAAGATATTGATTTTTTGCAATATCAAAATTTTTTTCAGCATTTTAAATTTTATAGTTTTCATCTGATAAGTCTTGCTGAGTTCTTATTAAAATTATAAAGTTGAAATTTGAGATATTTGTCTATTAATTTTGTTAGGATTATCACTAGCTTTAAATAAGGATAATGTTAATGTTAAAATAATTTCATTATACAACAATTAAATCATATGATTTTTAACTTTTTAAGTTGTAATTGGGAATGGAATTTAATTAAGTGGATTTGGAATTTTAATTCTATAACTATACAGAATTAAAATAAAAAAATATTTATTAAAATTTCAATTGTCTTTTCTATGAATTGTGAATTGATGTCATAATTAATAATCTTGATTCAATTATATAAGCATGTTTGTGTTTCTAAAAAAAAATTAATTATGATAATACAGTGCCTTACCATATTATTGTAGACATTTTCTCAAGATCGGTAAGTAAACGTAGCACGAAATTTGTATCACGAGCAGATCTCAAGGACAACGTATAATTTCATGCAATCTTCTTGATTCATTTCTTTTATCTAAGCCATTCGCATGCTGGTTATTTCCTCATGACGGTGAAATTAGGGTATTATTCATTTTTAAATGATGTCATGACAGGTTTTACGACTCATAATCAATACTATACTGTTATTAAAAAAATCGAGTTTCTAGCAAAGCTCGTTATTTCACTGATGGGACCCAGGGCACAAATCTTATTGCAAAATTACGTTTGCATGTGACAATTTCCGACCCGACTTTTCGACGGACGGAAATTTTCCGCTTTTTATTATAATCTACTCCAGCTGTGGTTTATAAGCTTGCGTCTAAATTCCGATTTAAAAAAACTATTGACGGAAAAAAGGCATATTACATCACCCGGAAATTTTGTGCCCTGATGGGACCTCTTGAAGTATTAATTAATAATTGATTGATCTAATTAACTAATAACAACTTAATAATATATATTGTGTCTGGCATTAGTGCCCGGCACAAAGTGCCTGTCATTTTGTGCCTGGCATTAGTGCCTGGCACTAAGTGCCTATGCCTTTAATAGTGCCTGGCACGGGCACGGCACAAGGCACTAGTGCCCGGCCTGGTGCCAATGTGCCGGGCATGGGCATTTGCAGACCCCTATGGTAAGTTTATAAATTTAGGAATTAAAAAATTTACAAAACAATTTTACTTTTGTATATTAGAATGTTGATGAGAAAAAACTAAAATATACAAATTTACGAAGTGAGCTTTAATTGAATTTATTGGACTATTCTTGTCCAGAAGTCTGCGACTTTCTAAAATATTTTTTATTGTCTCCGTATGCAAAACGTGACTAAAATTATTTTTTTTAAAAACCAAATACAATACAAAAAATTGACTTATTTACAGATATGGAAAAAGACCGAGGGGTAACATTTCCAAAAGACTATATGTGGTTGCATGCGATTTTCTTCTTTTCAATCAGAAATGTAAACAACATCCAGCCTTTCAAGCATCTTGGATTCTTATGCCTTATTTACAACAAGGATCAAATGTACAACTTAAGTGAATACTACCTGTGCATAATTAAAAAATTTTCCTACAAATGCAATCAAACCGACGAAATCATAACACTAAAAATTAAACGTGTAAATTGGTGTGTAGAAATAATATCACACGTAAGCTCAATACCCTAGCATCTGCTTACACAGGCCTGTTAATGACAATATGAAATTAGCTGTGGTAAAGTAGATGATGATGATGGTCTCAATAATAAAATAAAACCAATATATAATGAACCTTTTAACGATTCCGTAGAACGAATTCCTTCAGATTTGACAGACGGTTCTTTACCAAACATTAGCGAAATATTGGTAATCTCTCTTTGAAAAACATCTTAAGCATTACCGTTATGGAAAAGCAGCGTCATACGACGATCAGGAGAACAGATATGTGTCAAAAATATTTAAATTTTTTTAATTATATTTATACTATACATTTATTGAATAAATTCATAAATAAACATTGAATAGAGAAATATGTAGTTATTTAATAATTGAATTTAAAATGAAAAGTGGCCAATTTCATATACATAGTCTAAGCACAGTACGGATAAATGAGCTTAACAAATAATATTGTTGGCAAAAAGTTAACGATCACATAGACTTCAATTTCTTTGAAGCTATCTTAAATTTCAATAATGTCGTATTTAAAAGTACGTACACACCTAATAACACTAGCATTATTTTTATAAATAAATAAAAATAGTTAGGTCTCATCATACTGTAAGTTTCTTCACGATTGCTTAATGCCCATGCGTTATTTGGTTCGATTTCTAGTAATTTATTCAAATCTGCGAGTGACTCCTCATATCTATTCATATGGCGGTAGGTTATCCCACGACTTCTTAATGCCCATGCGTTATTCGGTTCGATTTCTAATGATTTATTTAAATCTATGAGTGACTTTTCGTATACGCCCATTATGCGATAGATTTCTCCATGAATTTTTAATGCGACCGCATCATTCGATTCAATTTCTAATGATTTATTCAAATCTGCGAGTGCCTTCTCGTATCTATTCATTAGGCGATAAGTTTCTCCACGACTTCT